CAGCAGATGGAAGAGATCATCCATGGTGTCAGTAGAGACTTAAGAAAAAGCATAGAAACTATGTCCTGGAATAATGCAATGTCATCAATGAGTCAGGAGGATAAGGGGTAAGAGAAGTGATCACTGCACTTAGCAATATGGAGCTTATAGGTAATGTTTACAAAAGCAGTCCAGATAAAGTTAGTTGAGTAAATACCTGACTGAAGTGGATTCAAGAGAAATTAAGAAAAAACAAGCCTATGCAATTTAAAAAAAATGTCTTTTGCTGTACATGGAAAGATAAATGGGGTGACAACTTGGTAGGGCAGGGTCGTTAATACATTTTTTCAATGGGAGAAATATAAAAATATTTAATGCAGTTGGTTATAATCCATTGGAGATAGAAACACCAATGATACAAAAAAAGAGGAGGAAAGTTTTGTCCTAGAATAGCAAGAGAGGATGAGATCTAGAACACAAGAGAAGTGGCTGCCTTTTCTAGGGACATGGGCAGTTCATCACAGTAGAGGATTAAAGGCAACAAAATGACTAAAAATAACAGTTTCAAAAATTTAGAAATACACATGTTATTATTCAGTGGATTATAGGTATTGCCTTCTTGTTGCCACGCTGTATTTCTAGGATCTACAAGTGGCCAAGATCTTAAGATAAAATAAAGAATAGATATCAGCAACACTAATCTGAACCTGATACAGAGGAGACCCTAAAACATTTGTTGAATAGATGGTAATTGTTTATTTAATGGCTCTGATTAAATTAATAAAGCTAAGGTGTATGCCCTCTATAAGCCTTTGAAATTAACAAAAGTATTCAAAATATTAGAGAGGATTTGAATTCCCTCATATATATAAGTAAACAGTGTCAAATCCATTATCAAAGGATTTGGGAAAGTTGAAAGTAAAACCTAGATGTTATATTTTCTAGTTAAATACTTTTCCATGGGACCTATACTCTCTTGCTTATTAAAAGGATATAATGGGCTATAAAGTATCCTAAGTCCATAAAAAGGCAAATTCATGGTATCATAACTATGAGGATTTGGGATCCTTGAATATTGTGCTCAGTATAATTATACTAACTCTAATAAGCATATTTCATTAATAATAATTTTGTTTGCCTTTTTAGAACTTAGAAGTAGTCATGAGAAAGGTTTTCAATGGTCCATGTCTCTTTAAGAAAGTTTCCAGAGAAGTTTTATATTTCTTTAAATCTTGCTGAATATAACTAAATAAAGGATGTGACTCAGAGTAAAACAAAAGTAAGCCATGAATGGAATCCTGGTAATCCTGGAACAGTGTGATGTTGAACAAGTTACTTAACCTCTCTTTGCCTTGACTTTATCATCTGTAAAGTGGGAATAATAATAATAACGACCACATTGGAAGGTTTTGAGGATTCACTGAGATGATATATCTAGCCAGTTTAATGTATGATCTAGATTCAGAAATCAGCATTATTATTACCTCTTCCAATTCCCTCAGATGAAGAAATGAACCTCAAATAAAATTTCAGACAGTTACCTTAGCTTTTCTGTTCATGTTTAGAAAATAAACTATTGGTCCTTTTTTTGGAAGTTAAAAAGACTGTTTCGTAATTCTAGTTCCAGATAGGACTGTATCATATACAAAGTTCTGATCTCTTATCCAACCTGAAGCTTCCACTCTTGTACTCAGTTCAGGCTTGTTTCAAGCTTTGAAGTCTGTGCTGAAGGCTGGGGGCAGGGTGGTCTTTCTTTATTCTAACACTCTTCACTCGCAGCAACTGTTTCTGACTGTTTCAGAGTCAGGGCCTGGTAAAGAGAAACTGAAAAGACCACAGTGGTATGTGACTCATCCATGGTCAGCCTGGGGCTTTCTGAATGGTAAATGGGTAATCAATGACCTCCTCCTGGCGTACAGTTGTGGCTGTGCCAAATGAAACTGCTTCTTCCCCAGTTTTATGTGACTTGCTCAGAGTCTCTTTTTTGATACCAAACTCCCAATTCACCGCTCATTGCACCCCATTTAGGAATCGGGACTTCTAACAAGGTACCCACTCTGTGGGATTACACAGAGATAAGCCTAAGCAAGCTCCTCTTTTGAGGGTCCCATTTGATTTAAAAAAAGTCACCAACTTTTGTCTTGGCATTGGAGGGTTATAGTTTGCCTGAGATATGACTCTTTAATGTTCCATAGCAGCAGGACATCTCAAATCACAGCTGACTTCAGACTACATCCTTCAGCTTCTGGAGTAAACAAACACACAGAGCTCTCTGAATGTTTCCCCGGAAGCCCTTCTCACTTAGCAAAGTTGAATGGGAACCACTCAGTCCTCACACATGGAGTGGTAGATTATGTACAGCAAACCAGCCGCTCTCCAAGACAACTCCGTCTCTCTTCTAGCTTTACCACCTCAAACATTGCAAAATCTTAAAATGCGGTCTGAGCTAATTCTGGACTTACTGGTTGGACTATATCTTAGTACCTCCTGCAAATAAGATCTTGCACCTCGTTTATTTATCCCCTCCTCAAACAGAAAGAAAGACTCTTTTTCAATATGTGAATACTTAAATAAAACATTGCCTGGCATAGTGGGAGTGTTCAGAAATGTTAGCTATGGCTATTATTTATCTTAACTTTATTATTTCACATTTAAAGGGTGGCTAGATAAGGAGTTGCCCATATTAAAAAAAAAAATAGAGGAAAAAGTCAAAATGATTTAAAAACCAAGACAGCTTGGTGTCACAAAAGTCAAGAGAGTAGGTATTTTGTTTTGTTCAGAAGGGAACAGTCACAGTAGGATTTTGCAGTGAATTTTAATAAAACAAAATAACTGCACTCATCAGTTAATTACTGAGGACTTGATTTTGAGCAGTGGGTTAGAGGGAAAGTCAGACTGCATTTGCTTAAAGAGTGAATAAAAGGTGAAGAAACTCATACAATGGTAACAGACAAGTTGGGAAATAAGTTTATAGGAAAAGAAAGGTTAGATTGGTTACTATGCAGAGATAATGTTTTGTTTTTGTTATTATTATTGGTATTGCATTTGTCATCATTTTACTTTTAAGGAATAGATTTTAATGTTACACCCCCCTCCAAAAAAACTATGAGAGAGAGAGAGAGAAATTGAAGATACTAGAGGCAGAAAAAAAATTATTGAAGAAGGAGATGAGAAAGAGGGATTAAGGATTTAGAATGGAGTATTAGCCTTAAGCAGGAAAGGCATTGCTTAAGATTGAAGGCAATATTTAAGATTGGAGAACACGAGTAAACAAAGACAGTATGGGTGTAAATAAGTGAATAGTGGTATATGAGAAAAGAATGCATATTGTAGGACAACACACCTAGTAGCCTAGGAATGGTTTTGAAGAATTAAGGACATGGGAATTTCAAAATAAAATAATTAATAACATTGCTTGGCACAAAGACTCAAGGGGCATGAAGAATGAAAAAATATCTATAGATTTGCGGAATATGCATCCATTGGTAGCATATAGAAATGTGTTTTTGGAAAAATGATGATAAAAGGAATCTGACTGTAGGGTTTAAAAAAGGGATAGAAATAAAGAGATATAAATAATGAAAAATAAAAGCTGCAGGTGAACACCATGTCATTTGGCCAGGGGTAAAGTAGCTAACTGGTAGAAAGAAAAGCATATTAAGAAAATAGAATGATACAATAAAAGGTAGCAAAAGCCGCAGCATCCTTCTCTCACGGGAGCGAGGGAACACGTGCTTAGTGTGGCCGCCTAGGTTTCCTTGAAAAGTAAGAAGCTCAATCCAGATGTTATCCTCTCATCACAATAGGGAGGGCAGTTGTTTGACTTAATCCAGGGCCATGTGAGAGTGGCCTTTGAAGAAGTGGAGAATTTGGGAAAACTATTTAGAAGAGTGTAGTTAAGAAATGTTTTAATATAACTAACTAAATAAATCAAAGGACTTGCAAATTTGATAAAGATTTTGGAGAGTAAGAGTTTTAGTGCTTTTGATGTGTGCTAGTGTTCATTATTGCCCAGAAAATTGTGCAGTTAAGGTTGGCTAAGAATAATGATGATAATATCTATGGTAATAATAACAGCATCAATAGCTGAACTTAACATTTATTGAGCGTGTACTATCTATGAGTCACTGAATTGATCATTTGACATGTTCCAGCTCATTTATTGCTCATAATGATCCTATAAGGCAGGCTCTATTATTGTTTGAATTAACTACTTTAACCAAGGTTATTGAGCTAGTAAGTAGCGAGCCAAAAAGATACCTAGGTAGTCTGCCTCCAGGAAAAAAGTGACTTCTGTCACTCTCTGCAAGTTTCACTTACACATTTTGTATTTTTAAATGTCAAAATACAGCCATATTCCTCTTCTCCACTGGTAGCCTCTTTTAATTTAACTCCTCTTCTGAGTGTATACAGGCAACATCCCAGCTTATGAGAAAAACCTCCTGACATGTATAATGTTCAGGGTTTCTGCAGTACAAATATACATCTCTTTTCAACCACTAATACGGGAAGATATCATCCCTTCTTCCAATTAAGAGAACAGAGTTTCAGAGAAGTCAAGTTATTTACCAATGATTCCTCAACTAGTACGTGGAAGAACTCCAATTCATATTCAGATCTGACTCAAGTCCAAAGCCTTGCCCATTAAATTAATTACCAGTTCTTGTTTCTTCTTTCTCCTCAATATTCTCTCTCTGTTTATTGTCTCTATTAGATTCAAGGTTCGCAGTCCTATTTTAAATTCCTACATTTCACCAAAACTACATTACATTATCATGATGAACTTTCCCTAACATAATGATGACCCAAGTGATTCTTTTAGCTTAGATTACACAGCATTATTTTTGCAATAGATCAATTGCACTTACAGTCCCGTGCTTCATCCTTCCTTGTAATTTTGCCATGTAATTTTGTACTGCTTTCCACTTTGTTCCTGGTCTTGGCCAAGGGATGTTACAAAATAAATAAATAAAACAAGAACAAGTTTAAAGAGCACGTGATTATTTCTGCTTTGCACTTACTTTTCCGCCATGACCTTGAATAGCCAGGCCTATTGCACGATGAGACACATGCACAGCACTGAGTGACCCCAGCTGGTCTAGCTAAGGCCATCTATATCAGACCATGGCCAGTACCACTAAGAGAGCCAATCTTTAGCCGGCCAGGGGCACAAGTGAGCACAGCCCAACCCAACCAATCCATGACCCTGAGCTTTTGTGTTGTTTGTCACACAGTATTTATTTTAGCAATAGATTGCTAATGCAGGAGTACTATGCAATCTATCCTAAATCAAATATCAGCATAATACCTCTTCATTATTACTGTATCATGTCACCAGTTCACTCAAAATTCTACTGATTGTCCTGTGTACAAACTCCTGTCCTTAGCAGTCACCACTTATGAACAGGCCACAGTCCTCCACGGCCTCTACATAAAACTTCACTCCTACCCTACCAAAAGAGATTTGTGCTCTTCAGTACACAAATCTGTTAGTCATTCTCCTTATTTAATTCCCATTTAGTTGTCTTCTTCTTCAAAAAAAAGGGGGGATAATATGAGACCACCTTGCTTCTCTGTGAAAATCAGGCACCCCCAAGCCTAACCTAGAAAGCAGAGCACAGGCTGACTTTCTAGCCCCCAAATGTCCTTGAGCAGGGTCCCAGGCAAAACTACACTGCCCCACAGGAAATGCCCTTGAATTAGTTCAAAACTTTTCTTAAAAATGACTCTCTAAAATCACTTACTACATGAAACTTTCTGAAGTTAATCACAATTAATATTATATCTTAAATATTTTCAGTACTTCTAGAATCTTTTCATACTATATTAATTTGGATCAATTTATATAATTTTTGCTAAGCAATTTTATGCCCTAAATTCCCTGGGAGCCAAATTATATTCCTTTTTCCCTATTTCCTTTACAAATATCTGTAACCATTTAATAATACACAGGAGGCCCTCAATATAGGTTAATTAAGGTGATAAAAAGAAATCTTAAACTTTCATATATGATTTTTTACAATAAAAATTTCACTGTCTTCAATTTTTCTTTGAATAATATTAATAACCATATTAGTAGTTAACAAATATTTGCCTTGATTTCAAAAATGTAGGACTGTTAATTTCATCAGTATACCCAGTAAATTGTTCTAAATACACATATGTGTGTGTATTTACATATATGTAAATTACTTCATTTTTTGGCATTCTGGATAAAACAAATATAATCATTTCCATATTTAAGGCTTTATAAATTAATTAGTTTTAACTTATATTATTACTTACATTATTTTCTTTAATTATTATACACTATCCTGTAAGGTATCATTAGTATTAACTCCCTCTTATAGCATGGAATCTGAAGATCTGACTCAAGTTGTCAGTGTATGGTAGAATCACAATACAAACCAGATCTTCCTGTTTCAAGTTTATTGCTATTTTTACACCAAACTGCATATACATTTAGTTTTGATTTTATTTTAAAAGCCCTTACTACTGGTACTGTACTGGTTGAGAGGGTTGTGGATGACCAACATGTTCTTGTTCTCAAGGAGCTTATAATCTAGGTTGGTAAACAGGCATGTAATCAAATAACAGCAATAATATGGGGAATGATGAGGAAAAGAACACGGAGGAAATGTACACGGGGGTGCAGAGAAGTCTTCTAGGAAGATCAAAATCTTGGCTGGGATGAAAAGTGAGTCAGACAAAGATATTGAGGAGAAACATTATGGGCAGAGAAATAAATACGCGTTTAAAAAAAGACTGGAATAGATGAAGTTCGTGGGGATGCTGCAAGCAGTGAACTGTTACTCAAGTATACTACATCACATGCTCACAAAAGTGAAGACGCTAGGTGACAGAATAACAAAGCAGTTCAGCACCACGTGCAGAAAAATAGAAAATAAGAAATAATAGAGATATCTGAGAATTATTTAAGAGATTATAAACAGTATGGAGCAAAGAGGACTGAATTCAGAGACGAGGGAGAAGATATCAGCTATCTATGAGGATTCTCGGGCATCTGGGTGAGAAATTCAAGCAGATTTTGTTGAGGAATGGGAGACAGAGGGCTGAGTTAGGGGCACATAGAATCTGAGGTTCTGTGGAATGTTTAAATGGTTCTAGATAAGGTGCAAAACTGACAGTCTAGCCTGGAGATATGGAATAATTTAAACTTATCAGTGCTGTTGGAACACATTTACACCCAATCACATAATAAAGAACTAAACACTATGGCTACAATACCTTTTACATAGTTAGGGTTGTTAAAATCACTGCTACATTTGTTTATAAAGTAATGATAGGAGAGAAAGTGGCTAAAGCAAAGTACCAAATCATTAATACCTGAAAGTATTATATAGGCAATTTTTATGATGATATGTCATAGAGCTTGACTCTTTGAATTCTTCCCCATGTCTGCTAAAATAATTTTCATTTTTTAAGCTATTGTAGTACTTTTTAATTTTACATGCTATTTGTGCCTCAAAACTCACATTTATGCTAATCATTTTCTCCTCCAAGCTAAACAGCAAATGCAGTGCCAACAAACAGAGCAGGTACATTGCTAACAAAATATTCAAAAAGATTCAAAAACACCAATTAAAGAAGAAGACTCAATTGTTACTTATAGAAAACCTATCACTCTTAAGGTACAGATTAGGTTATTAAAAATCTGCTTTAAAGAAATGACAAGACCATCACTATTTTAAGAACCTGTGGATCACTAAGAGTATTTAATATTTATTATGGTGAAACACAAAACAATGTTGAAAAAATGTGTCCAAGTATTTGTAAAGGAAATTGAAACCATATGCATCTAAACATAGACATCCATAACCCCTAATATATAATTTCCAAACCTATGTACTCTATAAACAGATAATTTGTGTGTTGCAGCCTTGTTTGGTGGCAAAACTAGACCTGTACTAACATGAGACATTTATAGTCTCTATTTTTTCCATTCAATAGAAATAGGCATAGATGTGAAAATGTATAATTATGGGGAGCTACCCAGAATTTTTCTGGAAGAGTGTTCTATAACATATATTACATAACTACAGAAAACTCAGGAAAATTCTAAACTCTAAAACACCACTGGCCCTAGGAGTTTGGATAAGAGATTGACTAAAATTCAAAACGTGAAATTTTAGGTCATGTTACAAACTTGACATTCAACATAACAGAATTTCTAGAAGTAAAATTTTTCATTCTTGCATCTTTTTAAAAGATATTTATCTATATACTATCATTATATATGAAAACATATCCATTTTTCTTTTTGCCCCAAAATATCTTGTTCTAGTAACATATTTACAGTATCCTTATGAAATAATCCCTCATTTTTGTACATATGTAGAAAAAAATTAAAAACCCAGTTATTCTAGAATCACTTTGATAGAGTTAGGATCCAAATTGATATCATCAGACTAGAATAAAATACAAAAAGATAACTGTAGGAAAGGTATATGCATATTCTTATATTTAGGACCAGAGAGTCAACTGCCAGGAAGTGTAGGGAAAATAGGAACACATGTAGCATTTATGCAATTCAGTTATAAACTTAATTTGACTACTGCCCCAGGACATACTGAAAGTAGGTTGAACTTGCCCTTAAATATAATATAGCCCTGGGTTTATTTAATGAAATGTTATCCAGAAAGAGGAATGATTGTCCGATTCTACGCCTGTCGCAGAAGATAATGAATAGCATGATTGGTTAAGGAACCACACTTTAACAACAGCATTGACCAACTCAAATAATCTTAGTAAAGAGCAAACATGATGGTGATCATTTTAGAAATCACCTTATGAAGAACAATTGCAAAAACAAAATACCTAGCTTGAAAAATAAAATTCTTGGTTAAGATATTTGAGATGAACTCATTCTGTGTAATTAAACAAACCAGTGTACCAACAGGTGAGAGTTACTAGAAACATTATTTTATCTACAAACAAGGCATACTGACTGAAAATGAAAAGGACTGAGACAAGAGTTATCCCTATAGGGCTATGGGATTACCTAATACGGATGTGACAAAAGGTTCTAGGTGGTCCTTTCCATTCTGAACGTGTTTACTAACTCAGCATCACCGCCCAAGTTAATAGCTGGGTTTCGAATTTCATCAACTTTGCTTATATGACTTTAATATTTATAAAGACATAATATTTACAAGATATAATATCATGGAGAGAAGTCAACTCTTCAACATTTACTATTGTACTTAAAGCAGAGGGTCAAACTTGCATTTACAAGAAAAATATAGTGTATTGGAGGTGATTATTAAAAATCTCACTCATATTCTATGCTTTCTCTTGTACCTAGAAGGAACACAATTATGCTACTTTTAAATAAGAAAACTGACTTTCATTATTAACTGGAAATTCTTAAAATGTCATATTCTTTTGTACAAAATAATATTCTTGACAAAAAATGTACTAACCATAATTCACCTAACAATTTTAAGTTTGTGAAAATAGGGCTGAACTTTTGTGTTTTTTCTAATTTCCAGAATAATTTATTTAAAAAGAAAACTTGTTAAAACATTGTTGAGTGGAGAGGGTAATACATCAATAACTCCAGTAATTTTTAAGCAGGTGTTAGGCATTTTTAAAGAAAGACAAATAAAAAAAATTAGACAGTAGACTTCCAAACTATTGTTGCTTCCAAAGACAGAACACACAACTGAAAATGAAAAGTACATGCTTTCAAATGCCATGACTGTGTTTAAAATTCAAGGAAGGAAGAGAAAATCAACTATTCCCATGTTCTGGTGATTAGTAGTTGATCAACAGGTGATTTTCCACCCTCACCAAAACATACAAAAAAATTTTCAAAAAAAATACCAGACAAGAACTCAGTGCTTCACACTTCCCACCACAAATGTTACCACATTTTTCTTTGAGGCAAGTCTCATGTGAATTAATTATCTATTCTTAAATTTTTCTCACTAAAACATGCATATCACATATTTCAAGGGGAAACGTAATTATAAGAATGGGAATAAAGCAAAGCTTACTTAAGTCTTATCA